CATGCTCTTTCCTTCGACACATAGTCAAAATATTCCTAATCGTCCACTGGCGCTACCGTCGAGTCGATGTACCACCCTCGCACCTGATATTCCCGAGCAGAGGTAGTGTTTTATCGCCCGCAACGCACCGTACGCTCGTATACATATATTATTCTCGAGGAGCGAATTCCTGCCGGCGTCCAAACACACAACAAAGTATGGAGATAGCAATAGTTGGCTGTGCCAGTATGGGTGTGTATGTATAACATACGTATACGCAAACCCGCGGAAACTACGTTACTTGGAGGCATGTAAAATATAGGTCCATACGTGCAACTATGAGAACAAGGGAATGCCTTGTTTATGGCTTTGAGCCTCCCCAGTACTTACTCTTGGTAATGCTCTGACGATGCCACCCTGTGTGCGTACAACATATACACACACGTGTTGTTGTACGATCGTTTTATCAATTTTTTTTTTTCTTTTACAACCCTCCGTTTCTGGATGTAGTACACGCGTGGTCCTTATATGTACACTTCGTGTCTTTGACACGCGAAATAAAAGAGATCGGCAGATCTGATACCACCGGGCACTATACTTTTCAAAGCGTACCAGAGACCCATTCTGTCCCGGCGATGGACGCGTACATAGGTATACGCTCGATCTCGCGACTTTATCGCAAACACCCTTCTCGAGCGTGTACGTTACACCAGAGAGTCTGCGATTCGTCTTCGAGGGACTTGTTCGATCCTTGTTTACAAGTTTGTAAAACAAGATTTCCCCGATAAGTACATATATATATATATAAGTGTGCCTCAATCTCTTAATTGCTGTATAGACGCGGGCGCCAAAGTTACGCGCCGTGCACTCGTGTACGTAATGCCAATGCGCTGTATGGAGTATATAATTATAAGGAGGATGGATTCGGCCTGTAGAAACTTGCGCGTGAAATGGCATCTATGCTATTTTTAATAGTACCTGTTTTGTGTTTTGATGCGCTGAAAACTGTTTGTTTGATTGATAAGCTATAACGAGAGCGCTGTGAGCGTAAGCTGCTTCTGGACTTGATCGATCGAGTGTAATTTTGTGTGCTGTTGTGGTGGAGCGTTGAATGAAAGCTGGAGGACAAAAATTGTGAAGTTTTACCGGCTAACAAAAATTCCCGGGCCCATAGAGCTACCACGTAAAATTCTAGATGTAGTCGCCATAAAAAAACTGTCCCGAGGGGTTTGCTTTAAAAAAAAAAAAAAATGAACAGATGAAATTTTATCACGCACTGGGAGCAAACAAAAGGGTGTACGAAATGGAATTTTTTTTGTTTTTTTTTGTTTTTCGAAATGTACCCGGGATACTTTAATGACGAACGCATTTCACGTGCGAACAACGTGATGAATAAAAACCAAAACATAAATGTCAGTCTGACGAATAGGTAACGAGTGTTTTTTCCGCAGTTTTCGCTAATGCGAAACTCGTGTACCTGCACCGATAGTTGGCACTGCTGCTGTCGTTACTTACGGATACATGAACCTCTTAGGGTGATGATCCCATTGATCATCATCAGTTATTTCATTGAGCTCTATAATAATATTCCATTTTGTCCTACTGGCCCATAAAAAGCTGAAGAAAAACAAAAAAACAGCCCATCACTTTGAAGTAAAAAAAGTAGTCCACCGTTTGAAATGAAGATAGAGCTAGTTAACTAGTCCTTCCAGTTTTATACGTTGTGCCATACACATACACACACACAGATCGTGCCACTTATCTACCGGTCAGTGGAGTACACGGGTACACGTGCAGCTGGCCAGCGGAGTCTCTCGGGCTAATAGAATCGATAATGGCGCGAGAGGAGAGAGCCACCACCCAGCGATGGGGAAGCAAATGGGCAAGACCATATACATATACGTATATGTGCACAGGGAGGAGTATACACGTGTGGGGCGAGGAAACTCGAGAAGGAAGAACAGCCGGGTGAAAGAAGGAGGGCCGAATGTTGCCGGTAATAGGAGTCGGCTACTCCGTGTGTGTTATGGCAACCCTGGGTGTCGCAGCAGGAAGTGAGCTTCACTTAACCCCCGTGTCCTCCCCGACGACGAATCAATAACGCGCGCGCGCGTGTGTGTATATCTTTACAGATACATGTTCGGCTATACTCTTCCGTTCCCTCTTCAGTTTTGTGTCCTCCCGTGTCGTTGAGACCTTTTTTTCTTATTTTTCGCTATGGGCTATAGGGTTACCATGGCTACTTTTCGGAAAGCGATTCGAGAAGCGTGTGCGTGTTGGACTCATCGATGGACCTTGTGGTGTTTCGAGCGGGAGGTCGATCGATCATCATTTCATTACCGCGTAGCTGTATATAGGAACACTTGTCTATTGTTCGTCAATTCACTTCTTTTTTTTTTTTTTCTAAACTGAGAAACGTTGATTGTTGTTAATTTGGTCGTAGATGAAAAATCACAGTAACCTCGGATCAATAGTTTAGTATAGGCAAATCGCAGCCAATGAACATCATCTCGTCGAATACCTCAAAATACCCCATTGGCGTCGGTCCCTCCTCTGAAAAAGGCAAACCACATTTCCATACCGTATTCACGGAGGGATAATCTGCCAGGGAAAAAAAAAAAATATGTGAGCCAGCCGTTGTCACGGGTGTCGTCCCCCTCTTATGGTTGCTCCGTGAAAAAGAGATCCGAACGAAATATTTCCCGATATTCAACTCCTGTATACGTGAAGGGAAGCCCCGGGAACGGACGTGGCGTTATTGCGTGTCTCGAATACATACACACCTACTCGAAGAAAGTCCCGAGTGGAAACTTCCAGCGACGACGGGGTGGAGGCCCCTCTCGAGTCGAGCAAGTGTATACGTGCGTGTCGGATTACGCTGGGGAAGACAAAGGATGATCCGTGGAGCCGCACGGGTGGATTCGAGCTTTGCATTATTTTGCGCAAAAATCGCTTTTGTTTCCCAAAGAGGAGATCAAGGGTCAGCTTCCTTTGCTCCTGTTTTAAATATCCGTACTAAAAGCAAAATAGCTCGCTTCGGTCCTTCATACGTAAGCCCCGCGTTGTGCGACAAACAGAAATTTTCTCGATGTATTAAAAGCGCAGCGGCAGAGAGCACTGCACACTAGAGCAGAGTATTACGCGTGTAACTTGCCAAACAAGTCCCCCCCCTCCCCTTGTCTCCAAAAAGGTAAGAACGGTGCACGTAGCCCCATTCTCCTTGCACGCTCACTCTCTCATTAAATTTTCATCCCTTTGAACGTCGCTATACTAGTATTCGCAAGTTGACCCTTGACTCGGCCTCCTTACGTATTCTCTTTTTATACCTGCTTGCTGTCTTTTTCTCGCAAAACAAGTATGAGTGCACAAAAACACGTACGAGTCCACGAAAGCGCGCACAGAACAAGTTGCAAAGCAGATGGTTTCCATTTCATTTACTTAAGTACAGCTTACAATTGTTACATCGTTACGTGGGAAAGAGATTTGTTCAATATATATATAAACTAACCCGAAAATCGATCTCCTATAAGTATATTTATACGCGCGCTTTCGTGCACTCGTATACGTGTTTTTATGCAGATGTCGTGACCGAGCTTCCGTACTATTTCGTTGTCGAGGAAAAGCTTCCAGGTACAGGTGATGCGTGTCCACTTCTATACTTCCTAACGATGCTATCGTTTTTCCTCTGTTGTCGCGTGTTTGGGCGTTATCTCTTCTCCCCCAACGTTATATCGGTAGAAAAAACTACAGGCATATATACCTCCCGACGCGACGTAGAGTGCGGATATCAATCCATTGTTGATCCATTAACGTCCACTCGCGGTAATTAATTTTTCACAATCACTCTGTTCGGGTATAAAGTTATCGAACGAATAAGGTGAAGAGACCCTGGGCAAAAGGAGAGCAGTGCAACAACAAACACGTCGCCCGTATCGTTGAGTATATAGGAGCAAAAGACGACAGCGCACCATCCGTCCCTTCTTCCTGCCTATACTTTAACGCGTGCAAGTCAGCACCGGTGATGGCACGTAATATGCACATACGGAATAGGTACACATATATACAGAAGCAGAGTTTATAATATAGGAGATGAATAAACGAGCGGAAGTGACGAGTATATAAAATATATGGTACGGAGGAGCCACTGAGCCGCGCGTGGGCAGGACAATGTTCCCTCATCTTCTTTTCCGACGGTATATACGTGGGTTATCCCTCTCCTCCCATGCACATAAATAACATAATACCATACGCTTCGCACAAACAGCCGTGCGTGCATATATAGGTACATGTGCGCTTCTTCTTCTGTACCTCTTCCGCATCCACTTACCCGAGAGCTTTCTTTGCCTCTCGTCGGCTCTCCTCCTCCTTTTGAAACTCACTCCGTGTCGAGCGTTTCCTGCTATTGTTCCAACTCCACCCGATGCGCTCGGATTGGAACTGCTGTACTTTATGGTACAAGTACACGCCAATGGCTGGGCCATCGATTTTTACTCTTCCTCAAAACGAAACCACCCTTTTGGACCTTGTCGACTCCACGGCTGGCACTGAGCTCTTCCACCCTCCCGGAATATTATACAGGAGTCTTCGGGGTCCATTAGGCCACGCGGAATATCCTCACGGTAGAGCAGTGGTCCTGGGAATGAAGGAAAAAAAAAACCTAGTCCTAATGGGATTGCTCTTTTCGAGCTGCTTCCCTTTTTACGCCGAGTCCCGTCATCGTTTCTTTATACGCGTTTCGAAATAAGGATGGGGGGAGGGTATTTTAAAAGCTCGCCCTCGGATTTGGAATTTTATGACGCTGCCGAGGAGACGAAGTTTTTCCCAAAGCTCGCAGCCGAGTGGAAATTCAAATTTTTCCCTCGTATCCGGCTCGATGTGCTTTTTTTTGTACATATTTTCTTCGAGTGCCTTTAAAAGAGGAAATGGAGGCGGGGGCGTATGAATTATTTTTCCGCGACGCAAGTACATTTTCTATGTAAATTGACGAGCGTGTACGAGTACTGATGCACTATTTTTTTTTATTTCAGGTGGATTCACCGAGTCGCGTGAGGGAGATTTTCCCCACCGAAGCAGTGGCGGTTCGTCCAACGTCGAGTGTAACGGTACGTGTTTACAACGATGCTCTCATGTATACATTTTTGTATTTCCAACCTCACGAAACAAACATCAATCACGCGCTCAAGTTCACCACGGCAGTGCCCCAATTACTTACCACCGTACTCGGTTAGCCGCGCAAACTAGCGCGCGTTAATTAATCAACCGATCGAACCGTCCCTATTATCTATTTTATTTTTTATTTTTCAAACATATTTGTCGATGATCTCCAGTAACGGAGGAAAAGGTCCAAGCAATACGTTTGGATGAAAACACTGTGTACCTACGCCCAATAAATTTGCACGCGCCGTCCAAGAGTACAGAGTCGGAGGAGGTACACGACTAATCGGCTCTCTCAAATATTTACTTGAGCTGCTGTGTGTAGGCCCTCCCCATCCCCCGTGTACGTGTTACCCCCTCGCTTTTCCGGATTGCCCCATCCCCAGCTCCTTTTGGGTATGTATACTTATACTTACCCCTTTCCTGCCTCGCGTGTACCGTGTATATGCAGAGTAGGTATACGTGTACGCACGTGCTCGCGTTGTGTACCCACTTTGGGTGTACGCGAGCAAGCAACTTTACTACTTGGATGTAACTTGATTTTTAGATGACGACGGTGTAGTTTACATTGCATTTTTTGAGCTCTTGAAAAATAAAAAATAAAATTGTGTTTTACTGCTGAATCCATCGATTGAGAAATATCAATGGTTTCACTCGTGTGATTCCGAAACACGTGATATCTCGCACAGCTACAATCTGAGTTTAAATCAAATTAATTTATTTCCACGGCTGCTGCCACGGGGTTGCCAGTCGTTCCTTTTTATAAAATATTGTTTTTTTTTTTTTTTTATCCACATTACCAGAGCCCCTTTCTACTTCTCGACGTTGCAGACGGGCGCGTTAATTTACTTTTTGTTTCGCCCTTCCGGAACTTTTCTCCCGCCCCAAGATTTTTCTCCCTCCGCGTAATTATCCGATCCCGGGAGTAATTTTCTTCTTTTCCCTCTCCTCCCCCGTTTGTTTTTTGCAGCTAACTTTTCTTGATTACCTGCGCATCTTTTTCTCCCTGCGATGCATTATTTGCACTTTGAACGTGTCGATGTATCTTCTTCTCCGTCATAAACCTTGCAAGGAGCCTCTTGGCGCATCCTCGACGCGACACGTGCAACTCCTCCATCCGATACGTCTCCCGCGTACAGCAGTGCATTCTCACCGCGTGTCACCCGAATAAACTTCGATCAATCTTTCCCCCTCGATCCTTTTACGTCGATCGAAAAATCGGTGGAGGAAAACTTTGCAAATCTCCTCACACGCGCGGGCATTGTGGTGTATTCTTCGCTGTCTCTCTCCCCCTCGGAGTCGTAAATTCCTCGGCGCGTGGTTCCTGTGCCGCTTTTTTTCACTTTTCGATTGAGCGGCTCTTTGTGCACGGCCGGAAAGCCACGACAGAGGAGTGGTTATGCGACGACGCTCGGAATCATTGCACCAAGGGAGCAGGGAAAAAAGCCGCACAGCGATAAGATTTTTCGCTTCGAGAGGGAAAAAAATGTGAAAGCTCTTCCCCCCCCCCCTGCCCTTCCGTATAGTGCTGTGCGCGCTCGGCGTATTCGTAAGAGGATTAATGGTGGCGCATCTGCCTTATACGTGCGCTGCGGCATCTTTTTTTTTTTCCTGCTACGCGAAATTGTGTGCTCCGTCATTGCGAGATTCGGGCTTTTTGAACTACAGTGAAAACGTGACTTATCCAATTTCATTGAGTCAAATCAGTTGCAAGAGAAAAATTTCGGTGAAATTGCGTTTTTCTCATCACCTCCTGAATCACTCGTAATTGGAAAATCCTTGGTAATCACAAAAAAAAAGGGAGCTTCGAGCTTTAATTTTTCACCTACAAATTGGCTATCATCGCGATATTAGCCTTCCATTAACGCCGGGGGTGCAAATTTCCTCGCTCGAAAAAAAAAAAGAAAAATCTTAATACAGCAAAGTATAACGAGTACGAGCAGATAATCTGGCGGAAAAACGACCTTCGGTTGAAAATCCGCGATAAAATCATCGCGCTCTGCTCCGGTCGTTATACATGTGTATTATCGCTTCATTTGGCCCGTGCAGGCAGTTTAGATTAGACACGCAATTTAAGAGGAAAAGCTTAGATTCTGTGATTGATGAAAGTGGCAAAATAATAGAAAACCAAAACGCTTACTCTTGATATAAAATAAATGAAAAATATTCTTTATGTCAATGCATAATTCGAACGAGATGCTGGAGCTTGCAAAAATCATAAACCCACAGATACACGAGTCGAGCGAGTAAAAAAACAGCCACCGCAAAAAAAACGGTACTCGATTCACTGCACCCCCGTCGCCGAAAGCTCTCTCTCTCAAAATAATTTATCTCGTCGATGCGGACTCTCTAAAATCCATTTTTCAAACCGAGCGTTTCTCGATCGATCTCCTCGTCAAAGAACAATAACACTGGTCCATACATATAATATACACTCGACTCTGCATCTCCCAGCAGCTTACTCTCGCAAAGTACACTCTCATTACAAATCCGCCCCCGAAGATTATAACGCACTTTTCTCGCACTTGAAATTAAATCCGAAGAGTAGGCGTACGCCGAATGGGAACAACCAAAGTAAGATGTCGAATAAGGGATATATTGGGGCGCGAAAGCTTTCACTCGCGATAATCGTCAACGGCGCCACAGGTGTGCGCTTCCACCCCTTTCTCGAGCATGGAAAAGCTTCTCGAGACCGAGCCTCCCTTTACTCCTTTGGCCGCGTCTCTGACGTATGTGTTATACCTAGGAAATACTAGCTCGTAGGTACGGGCTTACTGTATACTACTGCACAAGTATGATAGAGGAGTTTCGGGGGGTTAGGAAGTAGAACTACAATAAGTATCTATAGAGCAAAGAAGAAGAAGTCGAGCTGCTGTGGAGTTTCGTGTGTATTACAACAAAGCCGGGGGTTGCTCGCGTGACGCGAATAACTTTTTTTTCTCTCTCTCCTCCTCTTCGCTCATACCGCGGAATCTACTTTGTGACGTTTTATTGAACTCGAGCACGATTTTATTCACTAAAGTTTTTTTTTTTTTTTTTTTTTTTTTTTTTACTTCGCTATGAGTACAAGTTTGAATGAAATCTTATCAAGCCGTAATACTTGAATTATCGGGCAATTTGCCTTAGAAACTGCCATAGTGTAACACTCGCGCGTACCACGAAATAAAAAAAATCAAGATGTAATCGAGAAGCTAAAACAAACAAAAGAAGGAAAAAAAAAAACAAAAAAAGACCTCCCTCCCTTTCTTTCCCCTCGTTTCGCGTGAGCGTTTAATTTACACCGTATACTGTATACATGTGCTATATACACGAGAGCACCCAAAGCTGCCGTGCCGGCACGTCCGCATTTTGCATAACAATTCAGCTAAACTTCCGCGCTTACGCGGAACACGAGAATATATATACATACATACATACGCGTCCAGCTTCATTTGTGTGCAACACCTTTCCCTGCAGCAATGAACACGTTTATGATGCACTTTTCTCCCCCGGCAGGTAAATAAACTTTCGTGCAAGATGCTGTATAGTATGGTATAAGGGGAAACAGTAAAGCAATGTCGAAAAGAACAAGTTGTAAAGTTAAGTTTGCGCGCCTTGGGGGCGAGGGTCAGTGACCCCGTATTGTAACACATATGCGCGCACAAATAAATCAAATTTGGGGTACCTCGAGATTTTCGGTATATGTGCTCTTTTACACCTGCGCTGCGAGGAAAAATCGAGTGTCCCTTTGGCTGCGCAATTAGTCGTGATTCTCTAATTAAAAAGACGATGAGGGTCGATCTCGCGATTCGCCGGGGCTGCTGCGGTAATAAATGTCGTTCGAGGGTTTTTGCAGCCGAGGGAGCACGAGGGTAACGAAGGAGGTACCTATACACATACTCTTCTGCGCGTGGTTTCCGATCGGAGCTCCGGTCGGGGCGCGCAAAAACCATCAGCAAGAAAAATCGCTCCTAACTAATGAACCGCGCGCTTCTCTCCAGCGGCAGCGTTTTGTACGCGGGGCTGCGGCAGTCGCAGAAACATTAATTACTCTAATGAGCTTAATAGAAATCTCTCGTCCCCGCCCCCTTTCGCTGTGGATGCTCTTTTCGAAATTGCCCGTTTCCGGACCAATTGGTTTTACTCTCGGTTGCCAACTGTGTAGTGTGCCGTACCTCCTTTGTCAATAATTTCAATTCAGTTGCGATTGAGGCGTAGGTGAGGGTTTTCGGTCGAGCTTTTGCGTTGGATTTTTGCCTGGAAATTTATTCATAGTTTGTATTTATAAATATTTCAGAAAGAAAAATTTGTATCCATTCTGTGCTTGTCGGAGGGGCAGATAAAGGCGCGTGTTTGAGTTCCGACAGAAAAAATAGGGTAGGGAAACTGTTTGAGAAAACGCGAAACTCGTTATAAAGACTGTACTCGTGGAAACGACAAAAAACAATTATCGTGTCTGTTTTCTTTCTGTTTCGTTTACTTTATGATACTTTTGGTTTTTCTCCGATTTAATATGTCAGTGTACTTTTTATTTGTCGACGAACAAAATAGAACACGTGCAATTAATTAAACTTTTCCAGCTGCTATTGGCTTGGGAATAACTTTGGATGCAGTCATATTGGAAATTTATTGTAATCAATATGATTTCAAGGACCTAACGATGAATTTAACCAGAGTAATTTAAAAATTAACTTCAAACCGTTGACTCATTTACCCGTGGACTTTACTTAACAGGTCGCGCAGACTAAAATAAAATAACTTTCTTAAACTCAAAAAAAAAACAACTGCTTCAGCTTTCACTGCCAAAAAAAAAGAAAAAAAAGAAAAAAATACTGAGCCTCAGTCAGATGAAAGAGATCCAAAAATCCACCGTAGCCATCATTAACCCAAGCACGTACCATCAGAACGGATAAATAAAACAAAGCCAGAAGGGCAAAAAAGTTGTGAAAACCTCGAGGGGAAAAACACGCGATACACGTTATCAAGCCACTCTGCCTATTCGTTGAGTGCAACTCTATGTTTAATTCATCCGTTTCTGCTACCACTTACACATACCCCATACGCAGCGCAAAACCATACTACAAAACCATACCGTGCTGTTACAATCCGCTCATTATGAATATTTATATTGGATTTGTCGATTCAAAAGTAAAAACTATGCTCTATATACGCATTGCCCGGTGCAGTAGAGTATACGTGCTTTCCATCTCTTATCCCCTCGAGTGCTCAACCGCGTGCATCGAAACATTATAAACTACTCAAGCGCGTAATCGTCTCACGCGAGCTGTTCTCGTTTGTGTAATATTCCCCGCTGATTTATTCATTCGCAACAAAAAAAAAAAAAAAAAAAAAAAAAAAAAAACACCAAATAACCCGATAATGTTACGCTGCGAAGCTTATTACGCGAATCCGTCTATAATGTCTTGTAACGTATACGCGAATGCCAGCCAGAGCGTCTTCATTGCGAAGCGCCGACGAGTCACTCCAAGTTGAATAATCGAGACGAAATCTTACAAAATATGAAATACCTATATATACGTATATCATATGTATGTATAAGCAGTCACGCACGCCGGCGTCGCGTCAAAGGCGCGCGCGAGTTATCCGACGTTTGATAAGGACGTGTAAACATTCAATCATCGTTTGTCCGGAGATAAGAGACCTTCCCCCATCTTCTTTTTTTTTTTTTTCTCCAAAGCTTGTTTATTTTATTAATACCTCTTAATTTATCGCTTCGCTTTAGCTTGTGTTTTTGTTGGTAGAGGGAGCGATCAGTCATCTTCGCAACATCATACGTGCCTATATAGTGCTTTTACGCTATGAAACGCAAACGCCGCGATGATGATGGTGATTTTGAAAAAAACGGGGGGAAAAGAGTCGGGAGCGGTGATTGATCGATCTTCCTTGCAGTTCGGGGTTTTTATTTTGCCAGACGCTCTGATTCGTCATTATCATTTTTATCGCTCGAGTCGAAGGGGTGTCTAATGAAATCCATCAATCAGTCCCCGTGAATCGATCAGTAGTTTTCCTTGCACTCCTTACCAAAAAAAAAAAAAAAAATAATCTAGAAACTTTAAAAGGGTCGCTGGTGGAGGGAAGTTTTTTTTTTATTCAGCTCGTCAAAAACAAATTAGATCTCGTAATGAAAGGGATGATTCCGCGTTGTTTGTCCCCCTCACTTAATTTAATTAATGAACAACATCTCGGCTGTTATCGCAAAATTACGGAAATAAATCCGAGGGCAATTTCGTATACACGCGCGCCCGTAAACACACACACGTACACGTGGGGCGAGAGAAAATGTAGGTAATTTTGTCCTACGTGATGTAGTTTTAATTATCATAAATAACGAGAATTAAGCTGCTCTCGCGCTAAGCGCGACAATGACGGAGTTATGCACTCCGTAAATTGAAATTCAAGCGCGTTTTTTTTTTTTTCTTTCCTTTGAAAACTAAAAAAAAAAAAAAAAAAAGAAAAAAGTGCACTTGCACATAATCGCCGTTGTTCATCCGCGAGAAAAGAGTATATGGCCCCTTTTCGCACCTTGCCAATCCCCATCGACTCCCGGCGCACAACAACACGACAGGCGCCGCGAACGAGTGCGTATACGACGTATAGGTATATGTAGGGCTTAACCTTTATGTACCGCCGTGCAGGTATATGTATGTGTATGTACTCCAAGAGAGCGGGATAGGTATACAGAGGAGATTACACCGGTGGTACACACGACGTTGTACAGTCGGTGCCTCTGTGTGTACAGTCGAAGCTATAAAAGGGAGAAGGGGTTGGGGGAAGTTTGCGCTGCGCGCGGCGACCCGATCAATATCTCGCGTTTGCAGCCTACGGCGGAGGGGATGCCAGCTTGAATTCTCCCCTACCCCCCGCGTGCTCTCTGCGTCTATACACGTATAGACGCGCGAAGGGGGAGAGGGACGATCGATCCCCCCCCCACTCCGTCGTGCCTCCTCCGAATCGCCGCCAAGAGAGAAAGAGAAATCAAGCGGTGACCTTCCGCGCTTGAAGTTCGACCAAGTACACTGACCTCTCGCTCGCGCCCGCTAACGACGCTTTTCTTTTCGACTCCCTCCCCCCCCCGCTGTGGCCGCCCCTACTTGTCGGGGGTGAATTTTCACGGTGAGGGGAGGGGGGAAAAGAATTGCTTTCCAAAGGGGAGGGGGCCCATCCGATGCGTATAACTTCCAAGGGGGTGGGGGATTTATTAACCCCGTGCATGGAAGAGAGAGTCTCCGTCTGGCCGACATGTGGTTGTCGGGCATGCGAGCGGGGGGAGGGGGAACATACTCGCAGGGAGGGGTGTATTTTTTTTTTGTTTTTTCGATCGCACGTTTATTAAATTTTTCACGCTCGAGCGATTTTCTCCCGTACGCACGCACCTCGATCGATCCGGGAGCCATTGCCGACAGCTGGATTTCGTTTCTGTGATTAACGATGCACCGGGATATTAATTCATCAATTGACAATCGGGGGGTCATCAGTGACAGTATTGTTTCGACTTTTCAATAAAGTACATCTTTCAATTAATTTAAAAAAAAAAAAAAAAAAAAAAACCTATTAATATCCCAATAATTGACACAGATAGACGGACACGTATGCACATGGATCTTCAATTAAACTTCGTTCCTCAAATTCTGAACTGCTTATAGGGGGGGGGGCTTTGATTCAGCCGAATATCGGGTAATTAATCTAAAGCCTATATGAGTAGCTCACTTTCCATATCCACTCCAACTTCACTCAGCTCTCAAAGACCTTATTTGTTTTTTCACTCATTTTTTATCCCATCCCAATTTTCGAAAGGTATTAAAACTGTATAATTGATTGTAACTATTTTAAACTATGATTAAACTCGATTACTTTACTTTGTTGCAGGTGCATCGTCAAAGACGGGGAATAGTTGGGCATACAGTGATCGACCAGGAGCAGGCCCAAACACACGGTATTTATCCACTCTGTTGCATATTCTTACTATAATAGTCATGCATATATATACACATTTACACAACCTAAAAATAGACACAGAGTCTAATGAAATTAGGGTACAAGAGGCCGCCTAAAAACAGCGGTCGCATCGATCTCGGCGCTATATGTTCATTCGCGAAACAGCCATGCAATTTGAAATTCCAGCGAACCGCGAGATCCTCCCCACACGTTCACTGGTATTATTTAGACCAGTGATAGTAGTAGTAGTTCCAGCAGTACCGTGTTAATCGCGAGCCAGAGATCACAGGGTACATAGAAGGGGTTAAAGAGCACGCGGTGCTCATTACGCGCTCGCGATATATATATACAGGGAAATCGAGAGCGCGCGACCTGACGGCTCTCTCGCGCGTACGGGTGCGCAAAAATTGATGGAGAGGCTCTGGAGGATCGATCAAAATATTTCGCCAAATTTCAAATTACGCGGTTGTTTTTGCATCCCGTTAAATAGGTGCAGTACACGTTTCCCGAATATTGGGTGAAGCAGTGATACATCACCGTCGTCGTCCTTATTTTATTTTCAAATATTATTATACCAAAGTATAGGTAAGTTGATGAATAACCCCGTGATTCATAGGTTCTACGTAGTTTTGAAAAATGTGTGTAAGAGAGTGGTAGAAGACAATAATAATACTCGCCGAGCGACGCCTCGAGACATTGACAAACGAGTTGGTCACGCAATAGCGTTTATCGTAATCATAAAATCCATCGTGACCCTAATGCACGCGTATGATACGCGTAAATGGACGTCTCGTGTAGCCGAAACGCAGTACGATGGTTGCTATATATTTTATAGTAGCACTTTTGTTTTAGGCACGAAAAGAAAGATGGAGCTAATTACGAATACTCAAGTATCTATGATTACGTTGCAACTGTGGTTCTGTTGTACGTAACGATAGCCGCAATGTCAATTAAGTAAAAGCCCATTTCTCGTGAAGGACCAAAGGTTTCCCCGAAAATGCAGACTCCATCGCTACCAAATATAGATGCACATACTTTATAGTGCACGTAAATCAATTTTCATCCAAAAACGAACAATAAATAATCATGTAAGGTATACATAGATTTTCCATCACTTCTATATCTAAATAATAATAATATCGTGGCTCGCGGGAAATAGAGACATGTATTATGCATCACGACCGTATACGATCGATCGAAGGGCCTGTCGTACGTGTATATAGTTATTACATTACAGTGGAAATTTTTCTTTTATCTGTGGAACCAACGCTGTGCAGCATCTCTCGATTTTCCTCTACACGTCTACTACCAGCCTGTAAGCACCTAAAGTACACACTTTCGTATCGATTAGCCATCCGTCCTCGTACCTATGTACACTCTCCACATGTGCAGCGTCAGGGGTCGAGCTTTCTTTATCTCCCCTTCCGTGCGGACCGACGACCCTCCTTGTACTATTTCTTTAAAGACGATGAGAGCTTTTTTCCATTCGTTTCATTTTTTATGTCATTTCAAAGCTCCAAAGAGGGAGGGAGGGAGGTTAATTTTTGTTTTACTCACAGTATAGGTGGGATTTACGACAACACAGCCCCTTGATAAATCAAATGCTCGCACCGCACACACCAGACTTTGTTTTTCTCTCAGTAGCGCGCAAACCATTGATTTCCTCCCCTCTCGCGAATTGGAAACTATTCAATTAGCCCAGCAGTCCTAAACAATTTAATGCCTCGGATGGCTTTCCTTCCCCAAATGGCATCCCTCGATTTCATTAAACGCTTACGCTTAGTTAATTCAATTCCTCGGAAGGTATTTTCCTATATACCTAGGCCTTTATGGCACTGCAGTGCCTCGAGTTCAGCGAGAAAGAGAGAGATACGGCCTTAGCAAATTACATTTTAATAAGTTTGGAGTTTAAATTAAAATCCAGACGAGATGCGTTGCTCTTTAAGACGCGGCCTCTATACCTATATGGTATATACAGCCTTGGCGTTTCGGTCTTTTGTGAGCTAAGCTCGGATTTTGGTAATAAACATTTTTCGAGAAACAGATTTACTTGGACGGAGGAATTTTTTTTCCGTGAAAATAGCCAAGAGTACAAACAACTTGCATTACCTTTCTTATACAACGTCGAATTTTCCATGGATCATCTTTATTGCTACAAATTATAGGTACACAATAGAATCGATGATAGTCAAGAAAAACTACTCAACGCGTATAATATAAAATAAATCCTCTGATCCGAGTATAGCAACAGCAGCACGCCTTATTCAATGACTCATGACATTGCACTACATTTTTCGAGGGTAGTGCACACGCAATAAGGTATACACCGATGTATACTTCCGGTTTACATCGTATAGGGTCAATAATTCCAAATAAGACGTATTATGTTTACCGAACGCTGCGAGTAAGAAGAAGCAGTAGGACAAAGGAACTCACGGGGAGGAAATGACCAAGTCCTGCGCGCGTCTCTACATGTATATATATAACAGCAACGATAATAGTGTAGGCCAGCTGTTAGCTCGAGCGTGAAAATCGTTCATCCATTCGTAAAGTATTACCCCTCTTTCTCTTTTTCTAGCCGTGTCCATATTACCCTCGATGTAAATGACTCTAATGACCGTACCGGTCGATATTGATTTTGTCGCTCGTCCGGGCACTTGTTCGTACATTACCCACTGCTCTTCTCTCTTCTTTCGATCTTTCGATACATACCCATCATACTTGTGGAGTGATATCTCATTCGTTCGAAGGATACGTGTATTTTTTTTTTTTTTTTTTCCATTTCTCGAATCAACCCCCCTATTTTTTATCAAAAAAAAAAAAAAATTGAAATATACGACAAAAATAGGCAAATCGTGTACACGGCAGCAGCTAAGTGACACTAAGCTTCCCAGCAGTTGTTACCGACCTCGTTAAACAAATATCTCGAACGCGATGATAACAATAACAGAGCCATCAGTGGCACTTGATTATCTATGTGCGCCACGCGCGCGTAAAGACAAAGCGTTCGTTCGGCTGGAAGACAAGGGAGAAGTGCCCAAACTCGCGACGGGGTAGCGAGTGTCCGGGTTATTCGGTAGTCGACAACGGATGTACCCCACTATAGCGAAAGGTGTTTAATTTTTGGTTGAATAGATTTCATCGAAAAGTATAATTAATTCCAGGGCACCGAGCGAATCTCGTCAATAGGAGAAACAATCGAACGAACCGATCCTTCCGCTTTACTCTGTATGTAACATCAAAGGCATGAGGAGCTGTGGTAAGCTTACTTCCCTTAAAAATCACGTATCGGTAGAAAGTGAAGAAAAAGAAGACCAAAACCGCACGATCTTTCACCCTCTCTCGCCTTCTGTTCTCGAATGAATGGGAAACTTTCTTCTTCTGTACTGGTTTTTTCGACAAATGCAAAAGAAAGACAGCCCAGTGGAGATCGCTGACTCTCGTCGTGGCCCTGAATCATCGGTACACTGCAGTCACCCTCCGTCGCTGTACTCTCATCCGAGGCTTTCCCTGCATAATATAGGTTATATGGGAAAGGGAGAAAAATTACTATAGTTTATACCACTGCTCTCGCTCATCCGTACAAGTATAATTACGCCCGTGGGTGGTTACATTGGCAGTACCTGAGAAAGCAAAAGTTTTTCTCGTCAGCTGGAAATTTTCATCCCCGCACCTATAGGATATCGTGCATGTTATATGCTTGTACATGGGCACGGAGAAGCCAGCGTGAGGTGGCACTTCCTCGAAGTTATTTCTCCCTTCTCTCCGGCGGAATGTGCGAAAGGGCTGACTCATTCGAAACTCGCTTTTGCGGTGTGCCCTTTGAGCACTGGCTCATCGTTGAACCTTTTCCTCTTTTTTGTCAAATTTTCACACTATATGTATACATACATAGATTTTTGTTTTCTCCGAATACCCATTATACAAGTTGGTACAGGTAACGACACTGGTGTTTCTTTGTACATCAGAGGACAAAGTTATATTTCAACGTTGGTCGAGACAATTTGCCCTCCAGAGCGAATTCACGGTTCTCACAACGTGTAAATTATACGTATACATATTACATAAAACTTATACATACCTTGAGGTACATAGTATACATGTATATTTTACCGATGGATATAGAGAACAGAACAGGAGAAAGGGGGGAGTCTACGTATATACAGTGGTGCTGTAGGGTCTCCCCTTGCTCACCAACATCCATATGTATATATAAACCGTATTATATAAAATCCCAACCCTCTGTACGCTTCTGTCCTATACGCGCGTGTGCGTGTATATATATGTATACCCTATATCGTTCTTGCCACCGCTGCCACCCCATCGCTTTACGCGGTTACACTTCCTCCCTGCTCTGTCACGCTAACGCACACACGCACCAAGTAAAGGGCGAGAGGTGTATACGCACGCATACATGTATATACACAAGTCATGAAGGCGGAAACAAGGGGCCGATGCACCGGTGCTGTCCTTCTCTCGCGCGAACAGCAGTTCGTTCTCTCCAGGGGACGTATAGCAAACTCCCCCCGGCGGGGCGGTCGATGTGCAGCAGTACCCCGTCCCCATGGCAACGAGACGCTTCGACCCCCTCGGCATCCCATACCTACCCTTACGAGTTCTGCCACTGCTATAGCGTCGTGCAAAAAACGCCGCCGACGCCGACGACGCGCTTGTATCTATCCGTCTCTCGAGTGTAATGCCGTTGGTGCATTATTCGACTAGACGGAGGTATACGGGAGGGCTGATTGCTCGCTCCCTTGGACGTGGAAAATTTTAATATTGTACACACGAAAAGGAGGCTGGACCGAAATTTTGTTTGTACGCGAGTTGGCTCCTTTTCTCGTGGATGATGAACACATCATCGATCCGGCTAAACAGAGATTTTTGATGTCGCACGCGTAACGATGTAACCGCGTAATCACCGGCACTCCGTTACTTACAATATGCGTGTAATTGTGGGAGATGCTGATTGAAAAAAACAAATAATGTAACACGAGT